GCCTCTCTCATCTTTTTAAGTGCGAGAACTTGCACAATTGGTGGCTGACTAAATACTTTTTTGCCCCACTGTACATACCCACGCACACTCCTAATAAGAAATGATTGACCGTCTCTCTTTTCTCTGCTATATTAAAGTCATTCCATCTCCCCAAACAAGGATGCATTTGCTATGTATAGATTTTAGTTTGTGGCAGGGTGTATGTGTAAATTCTATAGGTAGATAAGAATTTGGAGAAGACCATAGGATGAATATAACAGAAAATTGAGCTGAGGTTTATTTGTAAAGAGTAGAAGTCAAGAAACTAATAAAAAGATAGCAAAGTTACTGGGACTGAGTCTTCATTTTAAAGTTCCTTCTAAATGATGACTAATTACTTGGGTATCTATGGAGGCTCTTCAGTAAGAAGATGCCTCAATACAGTTACATTGCATGGGTTCTCCTCCGAGACCATTCCTAGACCTGCTTCCTATTACAACAATACGCAAATTTCTGGGGCTTTATTTGTACATCCTGTCACAACTGAAGAATTATTTCTATAATGTAAATTAATGTTTAAATTGTAAAGAAAATAGTGAAAACCCCCCCAGCAAGAATTACTTAATAGAAAGGCTAGGGGAACAGTTTTGATTTCTCCCTGAAATATACATTGAATTTTGTATGACACTGAAGTTACATACGCAGATATTATTTAGATTCTCATTCTGTTAGCCGCTCTTTATCTTAAATCTGACTATGAAAGTCCAGAGGTGCACTTTGGACTTTGCTCCTTGGCTAAGAAGACTGGGGTAGGACACTCTACATTGCAGTAAGCAAAAAACTAGAGCAAACAACTACATTTGAATTCTAGCTCTGCTTTTTTATTCCATGAGGGTGCTTCAGATTCTGCTATTATATATTATAGTTTCACCACTATTATATTGTCAGTATTTTGTTTCTCTTCAAACATTTACAAATTGTGCTGCATTTATATTTTACCTTGGCTCTTTGCCAGCCAAAGCCCACTGTATCAAAAGTTCTAACTCTGACTGCACTAGGCTAGAAATATCCATTCAGATAGCCACATGAGACTCATCTACCTAATTATTACATGTTTGTGATGCTAATGCCATATTGTCTTGGATGCACTACTTTATTTGGACATAAACATGAGATTAAGTCTGAAATATTTCAAGTAGTATGGGAACTTGATCTGACAAGTTGTAGCTGCCCCATCTCAACCAGGTGACTCTGGACAGCGAACAATTCTGAAACAATAAAAACAACTGAAAACAATACAAAAAATAAATATATATAGCAGCTGAGAAAATTATAATTATTAATATAGCCAAGAGACAGGGCCGCTAACACATGCAGTGGCTACAAACGTAGCCTTCAAGGATGCTGTCACATAATGACTGGAAGCTTATGGGTATTGTTGGGTGATAATAATTCGTTTAAATCTTAGCAAATTGGACTTTGAGGATTTAGAAGCAAATGTCCATCTTTCCCTTCCCAATCGTCTTCCTTACACAGCATTATAAGAGGCATGCCAAGTTTCTCACTGAGCTAGGCTATCAATATATCCATTTAATACTTAAATAATTAACAAAGTAGAGCCAACTGGCACATCACACAGAGACTGAAAGACCAAGCAGATCAACTACTTCTTCAGCTAGAATCATAATTTTTCTCCAGGAACACGCAAAGTCCAGATGGTATTGAGGCATTGAGTAAGCAGAAGCATTTTGTATACATTAACCATGATTCTTCTTTTTGCTAAAGCCACCTGGTTGATATAATGCAACATTGCCTCTAAGCAAGTCCCTGCTGCTTGGTAGTCAAATTCTGCTGTCAGGGTTATGAAACTCTCCAACTGTATTTACAGGAAGCATAGCAAGAAGATATGAACACACCAAGTCCAGACAAGGAGGAAGCTCAGGGTGTTCTTGTGAGATTAATGATCTTGTTTTCTTAGGTTAAATCACTGAAATGTTTTCTCTCCCTTCCTCTTAGCAGGTAGAGGAGAATGGTAGCCGTGAACCTGGCAGAAGAGAAGAAAAAGAGGGCAGCAGACTTTTAGCAGATGCAGAAAATTGCTCTGTACAAACCAAAAGTGTTTCATTTGCAACTATGGAAACAATGGGGCAAGTTGGCAAGGGACCAAGCCATTGTATGGAGCTTGACCCTGGTGATCCCAGTGGGAGGATTCCTGGGAAGTCACAGATAAACGAATTATTTGAGTCAGAACTTTCTTTTGCAACAGGCAAAAGAGCCACATCCTCAGGGCAAACTGAGCTTCAGGAGGAGCCTGTCCCGTTTCTACAGGGAGAGGAAGTGGATGTACATTCAGAGTCCTCACAGAACAGACAAGAATTGAACAAGTTAGTTCCCACTGTGTTAAAGGAAACTAACATGCAAGATGGAAGTGTGGAATATATAAGCTGTCACAGGACACAGTGTGCAGTCACCTTTGAAAATACTTTGCTGTATGAACTGGATTAAATTAGTTTTGTAAGGCTCTTATCTAAGCTCCACAACTACCTCAAATTCTGTGCTTACTCTAAAGTACACAAAAAAGCAAAGTCATGTAGAAATCAAAATACAACTGTTGGGAGCAAAAAGCAAGAAATAGAAACTATTTGTCCAAACCTTTACTTTTCTCGTTAGTTCAAAGATTCAGATGTGACCAATTTGTTACTGAATTTCAAAAAGAAATAGGCAGCTCATTAAAGCCATACAGATTTCTCAGAGAAGTCCAGAATCCGAATTAGATGGGATAAGTTAGGAAAGCATGCAGAATCTACAATCACACCTTGGCTTATAAGCAAATTATAAACAGTTTTTTTATACAAACATGCAACTCTTTTATGAGCCATGTTTAACTGGGAACTGACTGGACAGAAAATTTCTAACAAGATTGTCTGAAAGGGACATGACTACCCGGTACATTCACATCTGTAAAACTCAATTCTGATGGTTTCCAGTTCCTTATTTTTAACTTCCCCTTCTGTTTTCTCCAGTTTTCAGCTAAATGGCAGATAATATCTCATCATTAAACACCCTTCTCCAAAAGTTAGATGACATTTCACACAAGACCTTTGCTGTTAGAACTGCTTTCAGATGTGTATTTGCACAGCTTGAGAGTTCTCATACTCTAGCGTCCTACAGGTAGGCAAGAGAATAAAAATATTATTAAACTGTGTTAGCCAATTTATTTGCTTCCATATCACATAGTTAAAGTTTTTGATTTTTTCCAATTAATTGATATCTGGTCTGCAAACATTTTCAGTCTTTCAGGAGCCTGATTAATGTCCCAATCACATTGGGGAAGTTTTTCAAGTGGTGTGAAAAAGTGATTTGTTAAGTTACTGTCTCTGAAACCATTGAAACCAAATGGATTTCTGTGTAACTTGGCTAGGACTTTAATGGTGCCAGATTGCCAATTTCATTTACTTGGAAATAAATTTGCTGTTTTCAAAGAATTAATTTCAAAGCTTAATTTAAATACATTTTGTAAGCATTGTCCTATTTTGTCATACAACACCAGCCATCAGCAGGCTGAATCTGTTTTTGTTCAGTGTAAGTCAGTAAGTAATGTCATTAAATAGTCATGGGAAGACTTATTATGCAAGGAATAAACTGGGTACCTCCATAAAAAATACACTCATAGATAATATATATTAGAAATTATCCTGTTTGAATTTGCAGGTCACAACATTAAAACTCTCTAATTTCAATCAAATTAAACCATTAGAATGTCAAAAACCACACAGTAACAGAACTGTTCTAAATGTCAACTTAATTAAATTTTCTTGCTTAAGCCAACTTCTAATTATGCCCCAGAATTAGCCATTAGCCAGCTCTAATGTGCCTTAGGTGCTGTTGATAATTTGCAGGAAACTATTCAAGTCTGACGCTTGTGCAAACTCTTGTTCAGCGAGACATCACAAGCGTGCGGAGCAAACACTGCAAAGTCAAGATTAAAGGTTCCATGATTTCAATTAACTTTCATCATTGACCTATGTGGTCCCTAGTTGTGTTTAGTTTTAACTGGAGTGTTCCCTTTTGCAGATAATACAAACCAGAAATTTTAACAAATTTTAACAACTGCCCTCTAAAAATGATTTAAAACAGTCTGCAGTCTTTCATCCATTAATTTAAAAGTTCCATCTGCAATTTCATATTCAAATGGAACTGTAATAAGACAGTTTATAAAACCTAATAAATCCTTCCTTTCTTGTAATCTTAAAAATGTTTTTATTCCAGAAAAGTAGAAAAACAAGATACAGAAAAGTGTTGTAGTTTTTCTGTTAGTTCCCCTTAGTTTAATACATGTAATTTTTCTCAAATATAATTTATAAAAAAATATTTTAAGAGTAAGGTAGTTTGTCCCAATTATTTCTGTTATCTGTACCTTTGTGGGAGTTTGGACATGTAATAAATTTTGGATTATTTTATATATAAAAACTAAGGGTACATTTTAGGAAGTTTGTTGGCATAATGAACTTTGTGTGGGTTGCTTAGAGAAGTTTGTGATAAATTCTGCTGTAGGGCTAAGCATATAGTTTAATTAAATTGTGACTGTTTCCAAAAGCAGGCCTCTTTTAGGGTATTAAGATTCTAGCACATATGTAGAAAAACCTTTCATCTATTAAAATATTTTAGGATGTTGATTTTTTCTAACATTCAAATTCTATATTCAATGCTCTATCTTTAATTATGTTAGGTTGCCAAATCTGAAAGTTGAATTGTTTCAATATGACTTAAATAGTACATTTTTAAAAAGAACTGTTCATGTGTCTTATTTTTATCACTGCATTATGCTAACATTTCTATATTAAAACTTAATTTGTAACATTAAAATTAAATAAAATGGACCCTTTCAAACCATTGAAACTTGTATTACAAAAGCATGATTTTTTATTTTGGTAGAACTAAAAAAGTTGCATAATTCTACATTAAAAGAAACCAATTTCAATGTTTCTCATATAATAAGCACATAGAAAATAAGAGAATGCTTTTGCAGGAATTAAGGTACCAAATTTCAAGCAAGCCTGTAAAAGATTATGGAATACTGAGTGCCAGACGATCGTATTGTAAAGATAGAGGGGGAACAAGGAGTGAGTTACAAAAACAACTAAAAGCTAATTTTTGAAAACTCAGGGGCACTGAATACAGAGAAAAGGATCAAGGCCACTGTAGAAACAATTGCATCTACAATCTTTTTTGATCCTTAAAAAAAAAAGTTTGAAGATGTAGGGAACACTTTATAAAAGAGACTAGATTTTTTTTAAAAAAAACCTCCGTTATTTCCAGTAAACAAGTAGACATTTAGTTTTTATTCTGAGCATTGCTCCACATAATCCTTCTGCCTCCAAAATTAATTACCAAATGACATCTGCTGTAATCATTGCTGTCCATATTAAACTAGAAGCAAAATCCAAAAATTTTCTTTTATGTTTAAGTATTTAAAAGACTAGTCAGCATAACAGAGAAAAAGGTCAACGTTCCTTCTTTCACTGTAATCTTCGGTAACTTTTGCAGAGTTCATGGTCCCGAATATCACCCCAACCCCCATTTTTCACATGGGGGCTCAAAGGGGCAACTGAGTACCGCTTGCTAATAGTTATGGTTTTAGGAAACAAGTATTGTTGATTGCTATTTAAGAGAGAGTCAATTTTGGCACTCTGAACAGAGGGTTGGCAAGACTTCTTGTGGTGCATGCCACAGTCACCAGTGTGGAAGATTCGGGGGATCTCTGGAACCAGCACCTTCCAGAAATGAGGAAGGCATCCTACAGTCAAATGCTGGAGGGTCCAGTCCCAGTTGTAGTCATCATAGGTGCAGAAGGCATCAGTGCAGGCAATAAGTTGCTGGTACGTGTCCCTAGCAAAGACCATGCCCATGTTGTGCTCTGTAGACTTCCATGTCTTCAACTCCACCTTGTCAGCCCGGCCAGCAAAGCTGCCGCGCACAGTGGCGTAGGTGCCCAAGGACAGCAACTGGCACTCAGGGCAGTCACGTTGTCGCAGGGCCCAGAGGTGCTGCAAGATGTGGTAGAAGTCAGGTGCCAGGTAGTGGTCCTCCTCCAAGAAGACCACCAAACCCGGGTGTTCCCGCAGAGCCCGCACCCGCTCCCACACGAAGTGAAGCTTCCACCACCAGTGGTGTTTGGTCTGGGTGAAAGTAGCCTCACGGTAGTGGCCAAAGGCATCGGGGTACTGGGCGTTGAGGCAGCCCGAGCGCAGCGCTGCCTCCTGGCCCACGTCGCGCGGACAGTCGCGTGGATCCGTGCCTGGGAATTCGCCCGGATAGAGCTGCAGGCTGAACGGGAAGAAAATCTGCAGGACCGCGCAGAAGTCCACGGAGGCGGCCAGCGCATTCAACTCGGCAGACCACACGTCGTGGCTGAGCACCAGCAGCACCTTTTCCACGCCGGGCGCGCGCCGCAGCGAGTCCAACAGTATCCGGAGATGATCGGCGCGCTCATGCACCTGCACCACCAGCGCCACGGCCACCTCCTCGGTGCCGGTGCCGCTCCCGCCAGGCCGCCAGTGCGCCTCGTTGCGCACCGGCTGGTCGAAGTTGAGCCGGTACACCAGCGACCGGTAGTGCAGGGTGCGATTCAGCCCCGGCGCCTCTTCCCGCGATAGCCAAGACGAATTGGAAAGACGCCCGCTAACAGGAAGGCTGCTGCTGGTAAAGGCCGGCGGCAACGGTCGGTCTCCCGGGGGCGGCGGCGGCGGCGACGCGGGTTCTTCCCGTTTGCTG